AGCCCTGCTGACGCACCAAGTTACTCATATACACTCGTATTTACAAAAAAAATCCCATAAACTTTAACATTTATAACATGGCTGTAACACAGAAAATCACTTGTTCCTTTCTATAAAATATCTAATTACTCATTTTAGTATTTGAATAAGACATTTCCTTGCCAGCTTAGGTCACAGGCACAAGATACTCACTACTGGAAATGTTTCTGCTCCTCCTTAAGGACATTTTGCCCCATCAGATACAGTTCCTCCAGCCAATTCTTCCATTTTTGCTAGTTCCCAATAACTTTTGGTACAACCCCAATCATTATCATTTGGAAACTACCAAACCAAACATGATGTAGAGGCACTGATCTGTGAGTGGAAGGATCCCCCTTTGCCTACCCAGATGTGCCCAGTATCTTGTGAAAACCCTAGGAGGGGGCATTATTTTTCCCCCTGCAGAAAACTCAATCAACTACACGGTATCGACCCCTCTGCTCCCCTTCCACCGCCCCTCTTGAGAGCGGCCTCCCCTCGTAGCCTTGCAGGGAGCCAGTTCTTGTTTGGGGTGCCGAGCACAGCCGGTGTACTCTGTGCATCACCTGCACGCAGAGGGAGGCAGGAAAGGGAAGGGGGCTGCCAACACCCATGCTCAAAGTCTAGGTCAAACAGCAGTTGTACCCCCCTGCTGAGGCACTGCCATGGGGATCACAAGAGAAAGTAAACCAAAGGACACTTAAAAACCCAGGGAAAGTGAGAGGCTGTAGCCTCCAGCAGGTGCCAGGGGAAGGAGGCGGCATGTTCTCGCCTGCATTGAAAGAATTTTTTGCATTCTTCTTTGACTAGCCTTCCTTCATCCTGCGTAACAACAGCAGTCCAAACTTGTCTGAGCAAAAGGGCAGAGTCACCCTAAGTGCCCTCGGAGATCCACTCTATCACTAAGGGCTGCAGCGTAACAGTTGGGATGTTCTTGTGCTGCATATTATGGTCATCCACCCTGCACAGCTGTGGTGGGAATTCTACTCCTAGATCCTTCCTGGCTGTTGTCTTCTTGTTCCTTGCTATTTCTATGTAATTTTTTTAATTGAAAAAATATAGTCTCTTTACGTAGCTTTGTAGAAAAAAAGAATCTTCTCACACCAAGCACAACTAATCTTAGTATCAGTTTCTCGCCATGGGTCGTACTCGAGACTAACCCTGAAGATCACTCACACTCTGCTGCTCGCACTGACGGTAGCTACCAGCCTGCTAGGCAAAAAGAGTGCTTATCAGCCACAGGAGACCATTACACCGATCCTCTGGAGGCTGCTCTGACTTCTTCTTTGCTTGCAGATGCAGGGCGGATGGCTGATGTTGACTGCTAAAGCCCCGACCGATGGGCACTGCCTGCGTGCAGTCTGTCTACCTGGTGGTGCAGGTCAGCGGAACGCTCTCGCAGTCCCTCCATACGCGAGTGACGGGCATCCTTCGGATTTAGTCTCCTCCGCTGACGTGAGTCTGTAGACAGTCAGTGCACCACATGGGGCCTATGTGTTTAATTCAGCCTTTTTTGGGTGGAATTTTGGGATACAGCAAGGAGAGAGTGCCTTTATCGGAGCTGTTTCTATTTGGTCAGGTAGCAGCCTAATGTTTTCCAGGATTGTATAAGCAAATGTTTACTTAATATTTCATCTGACTGAAACAGAAACCTGAACAGCTTGGAGATAAAATTTTAGTCAGATTGCTCAAAATTATTTGGTTTTCCAAACAAAAAAACCCCACCCCTTTACTGTAATACAAACATGAGGGAAAAAAGGTAATTTTGTTAACTGTTCAAAGTTTTAGCCTGTTCGTTCAAAGCATGAATACAGGTAAGACACTGTTCAGAGTTTTCCATCACGCTCAAGGAAGACCGAATCTGCTGAAATCTTCAGTGACTGTTCCTTGACATAGTTCAGGATCAATACTCCTTCCTCCTCCTTCTTGTGCTGGTAGCTGTTTCTGACACCAAGAATCATACCTGCCTCCCTGAAAATCCTGTTTCCCCTGGCTTCCTGACTGTCTTCCCTCAGTGCCTTTTCTGCCTCATTGCTAGATGAGTGCACCTTGCAGAGAATCCTTCCCGTTTCTCCCTTCAGGCTTCTGTGAGCATGCTCTGTGCTCTGCTCTCTCTCTTACCTGCACAGAATCTTATCTTGCAAAAATTATTCAACTAATAATTCATTGTGACTGTTTCTTGGATCTGCTTATCCTCTCCAGACCACTGCTCTCCTGTCCAAATGAACACCTCAGCCTGTCTCTCAGGCACTTCTTTACTGGTGCAGACCCTTCAGTTCAAGATCAATACAGCAAGAATTAAAGTCTTAATAATTCCTCCCTGAGTGCTCACTCCATATTATTTGCTCAGTAACGGTGGACCACACCATCATCTTTCCTGTCCTTCCGGTTCATGATTTAGATATCATTTTCATCTGTGGGCACTCTCTTTTGAGCTATATTTAAATCTTGTAGATTTTTCTCCTCTACAATATCTAAAACCTTCCCCCATCCATCCAGAAAGTCTGGACTCATCTCAATTCTCAGCATCTCAGTCACTGCAGCGCATCACTACCTGGTTTTCTCTCTGGCCTGTAACGTAACCTGGTCCTACGCATGCCTGTTCACGTAGGCTGCAAAGATCCCTTTCTCTGCCCAGCATCTGAACACCGAAGCTTTCTCTTGGACTCTCCCTGCCTCTCCCCCCTGTGCCCTTTCTTCATTTATTCACTCAATCCAATGTAAGCTGCTTCTGTCCTTGTGGCGGGTCAGCCATAGCCTGTCTCTCCCTCATAGTGAAAATGCTGACTTTCAGCTTTAGATGACACGAGTCTTTTTCGTGTGCCTGCTCAACTCAGAGAAGCACCTTTGTGCTCTTTCCCAAATTGCCCCCTGTGCTTGTGAGGGGCTCCTAGAAAACATCCCCAGCGTTATTCCTGTCTGGCTTTGTATCACTCTGAGGTTTTCCACTTTGATGTAGTACCCACAAAACGGTGTCAAGGTGCACTGTCAAGACCACTGCCTCGCACACCGGCTCTCCTGGCTCTTTTGTACTCCCTTTTCTACTTGTATTCACCAGTTGTTTCTTGCCAGCCTCTTCGGGGTGATCACGACTAGGGCACCTACGCCCTAAGATAAAACAAAGCAATTACTACCGATGCTTATTGTAAACGCTACAGAGGTTGTGGTTCTCCTCCCCCCCAGGTCCTCACAAACTTTGCTCTCTAAAACAAAGGTGAGACACATACGCTCATCTGCTCAGAAGTCATGGTAACCTAGTGCTCGCTGCTGATCATGGGACAAAGTCAGAGGAGGCAGAGATTATGCATTCCTATCACCTACACGAGTAAAACAAAAGAAAATCCTTATGAGTTACTGAATTAAAAACCCGAAGTACAAAAATACTTAGGAAAAGCCTTCTTTGCACATTACCCTTACCCATACATTTGACCACGGGATCACACATAGTAGGTGGACGGGCAAAGAACAGTAGGCAGTTGACTCGGCCAAGGTTCCCTTGTGTCCCCTTAACTACTGTTGCAGTAATTTGTTTTTCTACTTCATAGTTCCATCTCGTCCTGCTTGTTTGATGTCGTAAAAATCCAGCAACTGTGGCAGTTTGCACAATGCATGTTATAGCCTTGTGTTCGTGTACCACAAATTCAGCATTCTGGATTCATTCATGACTCAGACTGGAGGAGAAAATAGCTTGGGATGGCACAAGCCCTTGATTAAAGCTTTAGGGCCAAATCAACAACAGCTGAGGATCCAGCCCATATGGCCTGAGATCTTTAGCTGTGTAAAGGCTGCAGGAATGGGCCCAAATAGCTTTGGTAATTAGCAAATATCATATAAAATAGATGAAAAGTCTTTGGCAGGGAATGCATATTGAGTAGCATTTGAAAATTATTCATAGCATTATTAGTATACTTCTTTAGAGATAAAACTCGATGGCAGAAAAATAATTTGGGAGGGGCAAGTGTAGTCTATCACATGACAGACAACAGTCAAATGCTTTCTTGGATGGAATGCTATTTTACAATTACCTTTAGTCAATGCAACGAAGGGCAGAGGGGAACATCTAACATCTGGCACCTGACCCTACAAGCCGTTCTGCCTCTGCAAGAGTGTCTTCACAGCCGGTGGGGACTCTTTAGCCAAGCTGCCTCTCTCTCTCTGTGTGGAGAGCTACCCTTCTTGGGTAGGTATCGCAGGTCACCCTGTACTCCTCAGTGCCTTGGTCATCCAACAGCACTCAGAACGACACCCAGGGACGTCCATGGAAACAGGACTGAGCCTGCTCCTATTTAAATTCACCAATTATTGCACCGTGTACAGCAGTAAACAATAACACAGCAATTAATCACCCTGGTGTGGCCATAAGAGGTACTTTCACAGATTATGGTAAGGAGGATGCAGTGTGGAATAAATCATTTTTCATGCAAACTCAGAGGAATGGCATGTTATAAAATCACTCCTGATAAAAATCTAATGAAATTGTAAAACATCTCAGTGCAGTCTCCTGGGTAGAGTCAAGATCACATTAAACCCTCAAGAGACAGCGGTCAGGGACTTCAGTGAGAATCAAGAGACAGTTTTCCCAGGATGAGCTTGTTAACCTGCTATAAAGACATGATATTGATTTGATGGCTTTGTCTCTTACACTGTTTCCTTCATAAAGCCTATTTTTAATTTAATCATCTTCCATTAATTTATTGAAAGGCTTTATTCATCAGAACAAAGTCTTTTTCCTAAAAGCAAATGGTGTTCAAGTGCTGAGAGTATAACCCAGCATGCAGAGTGTCACAAGCAGCACAAGTCTGATTTGCCCAAGTTTTTCAAGAATACTAACAAAGTAAGTCACTCTCCCACTCCATTTTGAAGTTCCCTGCGACTGGGTTTTAAACATTTGGAAATCAGCTCTCTGCTAGACCATGACAGCTTAGAAAATCTCAGGACGTGTCAATGACAGTAACCATTTTTAAATGTTCATTAGGACTTACCTGCTGGTGGCTTTATGAAAGGTGGTGGAATTAATGGGACAATAATAGGTACATTCCCATGATCCTTCGACCCTGCTGGTGAGTCTGAAAGTCCATTTCCTGTGGCAAGCCCTGGGTAGCTTGGGTTTATATTGTATGGTGAAATAACACTGTCCTCAGGTAATTTTGGTTTTGGCAAAGAATTTTCTGTAAAACACAAAGAACACGTTGTACAGTATGACAAATATATTTCTTAAATGCCCCTACATACTTTCACCAATCTGTCCATTACATGACTTATGCTGATACAAGAAGGGTGTACAAAAAAAATCGCAGCTATTTTCCCTTTTGAAAAATGAGTATTTTCCAGTATTCTTCAGAAATGCCTCTTTTTAAAAATCACTCATACTTTCCTTTTTCCCCATAAAAGGTGGGATTATTTTGTCATGCTTATCCTTAGTACACCTGATTTAATCAATGACACCCTATTCCTGTCCTTTACTTCTATTTCTACTGTTTGCATAGTGATCACACTCGGGGTACTGAGACTTCACCAATGAAAGAAGCATAAACTGAAAAACAAAATAATTCCTAATTGTCTATCAATATGAGTAGTAATAATGAAAATTATTTAAAGAAAGGAACAAAATATTGAAATTATAGCAAAGTGTGCATTAAATGATGACAGTTATTATTCTAATTCTTTAATCCCAAGTCGTCTCAGGAATTTCTCTAATGCACCTCAGTTAGCTATGGTGCAGGACTTGATTCCCATTATTCCCTCTCTTGCCATCTCTCAGAAAAAAAAAAAACAAAACACACACACTTTTTTCCCTCTCTTCCTTTTTTCCCTCCATACACCAAAAATTTCTACCTGTCAGAGGTATTCGACATCTCTGCTAGGTAGATAAAACACACGATGTGTATCGTGTCTATAAAAGAAGCATGTCACAAATTTCATCAGGCATAGCCTGGAGCCACAAATCATTCAATAAAAGATCTATTTATTAAAACATAAATAAATTAATCACATTACTACACAAGAACAAGTTTCTTCAAAGGTGGCTTAATGACACTGCATTTTCAATGAAAAGCAAATACCGATCACCAATGTCACTACAGAACTGACAAGCTGCAAACACTCAGTTTTAATACGATTAGGTTGGTTCACCTTACCTCTAATTTTTCCACCGTTTTCTAGCCATCTTTCCCTCAGAACAGGTCTCTCACTGCAACACTCACTGAATACAATGCTGCTGATGGCCCTCAGAAAGAAAACCCAGACACTGCTGGCCAGAAACACGGTGAAAAACGGCAGTCCAAGAGCAGGAAGGCTGCTGCCATTTCCTCTCTTTACCTCACCTTGGAGGAACTCTTGTTGGATAAGTCAAGATGCAGCAATTTCCTACTCTTCACTCAGGTGACAAGTCCCTACTCATTCTCTGCAATGGAGGAGTCGGAAGGCAGCGACTGAACAGCCTGGATCCCATCCTTCACAGTTTGAATCGTGAAGATCCTGCACTGTCCCAAACGAATTCCATCCCTGAAGAATTTCAACAGCACTTGCAGCTGACAGTATAGTACCAACTTGGATGAGGAGCCTTTTGAGAACATTCACATTCATTCCTACATGCGTTGTGAATATTCCAGCTCAAAATCTTTCAGTGCTTCAAAAAGCCAAAGGCCAAAAAGCCTTCGTTTTGAAAGCAAAAGAGCTCCACAAAGCCACTCTGCTAAGGAAGCGACCCCTCTTTCTTCCAGTTGTGAGCAGTTTATTGGTACCACAGGTACATGACTTTCAACTGACTCACAAAGGGTAGAAGACATATTAGCAAGTGCTTACTACCAGCAATTTTGTTAAGTGATTTTCCTCGTACCCTATTGGCTTCCTCGTACCAGAAGGCACTCTCAGGTATTTTTATGTAAACCAACCACGAAGCAAGCAGTGAACACGCTTCCCAATCCACACCAACTCAGACAGGTTGAGATTCAAATCCTTCTTTGCACGTACACAGAAACACGAAGTCTTATTACCTTTGAGAACAGAAATGTGCTGGCGGCTTTCCCCGTCTGCCGAATAGTTCCTGAATTCAATATCTTCTCCATCTTTCAGTTCAACCTTATCATAACCATACCAGCCAAGGAGCTCATTCATAGTGTTTTCTGCAAAGTTCTGAAAGAGAAAAATTACCTACTTATTTATGTAATCAATAACCATTTGGAAGGAAGGGAGGACTGCATAAATCGAACCGTATCTGTGCTACACGGGGAAGTGTCAGGTTTGGCCCACCTCCTCAAAGACTAATGTTCGTTTTATAAGTCAAGTGCATAAAGTGTAATGCATTTAAATCTCCAACTGGCACATGTAATTATGACACAGACTCATACATCTGTAATATAAAGAAAATGAAAAGGAGAGTTATTTATGACTTTTGCTCTGGCATGCGATGTCAGAAATATTTTAACATATATTCGCCACACAAACTTGTCTGTGTTGCCATAAAATATTTAAGACTACAGCCACAGAATAACAGAAAACTAGGTGGTTTTTTTTTCTCCCCAACCAGCAGTTAATCAATCTTACTGCACTACAGTCTTTTCAGCTGGAGCAGGTCACTGACACAATTACAGTTCCTTGAGGTGCCCATGAACCAAACCAAATAAAATCACAGCAAAGACATTTTTCCGCAGAGTTATAAGCCCTTGCATAATCAAACCACTTAAAACCCCTTCACCGTGAAAGCATTTTACCATAACGTTTCATACAAACATCTCTTATATTTGTTTAAGGAAACCTTTCTCAGTTTTGCCATATTTATTTTCAAACCAATTTCCAAGCAGCCGTGTGGTTACATTTTATGTTTGTATGGAAATGCAAAATATGGAACATGACTGTCATAACTCTCAAATTCTATTAAAAACACGTCCTCTAGGTCATGTGGCAAAAATATTTCTGCAGAAAATACTCATTACTGGGCCAGAAGATTTAGTGGAGTAAGTTAAGAAATCTGCAGCCAGGTAACAAAGCTTTCTGAAACCAAATAGTGCCACGGAGCTCTACAGCTTACAGATTTAGGAAATTACCAAAGGAAACCAGCTAATGAATTATAGCGATGGCAAAGATCAGTTTGAAGTAGTACGACAACGGTAAAATGAAACAAAAAAGCCACACACAAAGCCTTTCTATTTGTCTCCACACATTTTTCATTATCACTCTTTTAAAACAAACTCCAAACTTCATTTTTCTTTAAGATCTTGACATCTAAAATAACAGTCCTGATAAGCACCGTCCCACGGGACTCTGGCTACCAGCAAAGGAATAAGGAGAATACGACACCTATTCAAAACAAATGGTACGTGTCAAATTTGGAGGCTGCTAGATTTTGTCTAGTAACGGCTCTAGCTTAATTTTGGAGTGGGAGCAAGTCTAATGATAGAACACCACAATTCCATGGTTGCGTAAATAAATAAATAAAATTCGTCAGATGATAATTGCTCCCAAAGTCAAAGCTACAGCAGGCATGCCGCCCCAGAACATCAGAGCTGCCCTGTTCCAGGCTCATTCATCCCACCAGGATTGCATAGGTGTCCCTGTCACTCAAGGAGCGCCGCAAAGCGGCTACTGGCAATGAACAGAAGCAATTTGTACTCTTCCAGGGGTGTCCTCAGTGCAACTGTGCTACAAACACACATTTCAGGAAAAGAAAAACCAAAACAAAAACCCACAGCACACCGCTGGAGCTTCAATTTCCTTTTGGGTTTTTCCCTCTCCTCTCATTTTCACTTGACCTCCTGCTGGAAGTTTCCATTCCATGGCTGTCCTGTGCAGCCCCAAGCCGCCGGAGAACATTGCATCGTTCCACCTCTAGCGTCAAGCGTTACAACACCCCGTGACATCTGACCTACGTCACTACTACAGCATGCAACAACGAGTACAATGCAGTGTCACGTGGTTAAAACCTACACTCATTTCTAAAATAAATATTTTAACTCTCGTTTGAATGATGCAGCCTTGTGTGTCTTCAATACCAGCAAAACTGGGAATTTTTTCAAAAGTTGTTTGTTTTTTTTAGCTTATTAGAACACTTCTCTCAGCGCCGAGAGTCTCGACGCACTAACCCTGCCTCCAACCCATGGGAATCCATCAATGAAAGGACCTGGAAACAGGGAGTGAAACCTCGCCACCGTGGCTCAGCCAGAATGACCTGAAAGGGTCCGTGGAGGCCCGAAGGCAACCTCTGTCAGCTTCCCTTGCTTTGCTGAATTCCAGCTATGCAGATGCAGCCCTAGAGACTAATCTAGGGAGGTAGAGACCAATTGACAAAAGTCTTCCTGACTTAAACCCCATGCAACCAAATTAATTGAGTAGCTCTAAATTTGCCTCCTGTGGATGCTTTGTGTTTCATTTGCACTGTTGATCAACTCAGGCAATGAGTAATTTCTAATTACTTGTCAAGGAATATGTAAGCAAGTTTGTATATGTGTTTATTTTACTCTGAAAATTCATATATGACTAGATTTTGAAGACACAAATACAAAATGATGGTTGAGCTTGTAACAGCACAAGGTTTAAGTACATTTCAAGCCTCATTTTTACTATCCATGATGAGTGACGCACAAAAATGAACACTCATAATGGAAAAAAAATACATGTCATTTTGAAATTACTCATGATATAGACTTGATTCTTAACAAAAAAAAAAAAAAAAATCACTGAGGTCTTTCCTCCTGACTTCAATTAGAGTACAATGAGGGTGCATATCAGCAGTAACAAAAGTAAGCACCTTTTCAACACTCTGATCTTTCAACAAGGATGCTACATTAAAACACAAACAAACACAATCTCCTTCATAATTTATCCTACCTATTACAATGATGCTGATCACCCTTAACACTATTTTCTCAGTGACTAACAAGCAGGGCTTCATTACACAGCACTTTATACACAGCGAGCCAAGGGGATGATCCCATCCTTAGCAAGCTGGTTGTCAAAGCTGAGAAATGTTTTCTTCCGCACTCTCGTACAGAGGGACATCCACAGAACTCTGACATCCCCTTCCCTTAGACTCCTGACTACAATAGCCATTTGCAGCAATGCCTAACATCCTGTCAGTCGAGATGATGGTCACAGAGGTCATGTCCTTGCTGAAGCTGCTGCCCTGAAGCTGACCACTATTATTTCATTGTTCCCACGTTGTCTCACTTCTTCCATTTCAATGATAGGCCCAATATATATGGATTCAAGATATGGTAACAAGATGGGATTTGCAAAGACTACTGTGGTGGCCATAGTTAAAACACAAATGATGAGATGAGACAGTTTTTCTGTGTGAATGCGGAGGGGGGAAAAAAGTCAAAAAAAGCCCAGTTCTTGATGTAGTACAGGAAAGGAAGCAAGACAATTAACACACAACCTGTATATGCAGAGCAGAAGCTCACCGAAAGATGTACAAGCTTTGAAGGCTTAGTGAAAGGAAGAGTGACGATTGTAACAAAGTGCTTGAGAAAAGCAAGAACGCAGGACCCAAGGTTGGAGCAGGACAGCAGAGAAAAACCAGCTGAACTTAGAGATTATGGGCCTCCAAAAGCCCAGGAAGAAGATGTGAAGATGAGTGTGGATGACCTGATGGAGGATGTGCAAGGAGCTGCAATTCCAAGCTTCTCCAAAAACAGGACAGCAGAAGCACTGAGCCTGCTTTCAGACTCTTCCCTGAAAGAATGCGGAGGGTCTGCAGGATGGAAGCTGCCATCGCAACCCCACACCTGTGCCAGAGGGCTGGAATGAGGTGAAAGACCAGCACTCCAGGGAAAAGCTTTGCCCATCATCAATAAAACCCCAAGCTGGAAATCACACTGCTAAGCTGGGACCCACAAGCCCAGAGCAATCCCACTGAACCCTAAGGGAGTCTACAGATATCCCTGCAAAATTACAGCACAGAAGCCACCTTGCCAGGGAGGTGATGCTCAGTCCTCTGCGGGGAATCCAAGAGACCCAGTCCCGGTGCCGCTCGCAGCGTGGGCCAGCGCCAGAGCTGAGAAGACGAGCACAGAAGCCTTGCCCCACATCCTGCACTCACGTCACATCTCCAGGCCACGCGCGACCTCCTGCATGTGCACCAAGCAGCCAGGCTCCTGAGGCTGCGGTGGAAACACCGATAACCTCTTCAGCTGCTGGCGCACCCAGGCAGCTGGTTAACATCCCACCAGAGCCAAACCTTCTGCCATCCCACAGCTGATGGCACACCGCCGCAGCTGCCGAATTGCCAGGACATCCACCGCCAACTCATCCCTGACGAAGGAACCGGACCAAAAACACACCAGTGGCCCCAATTACACAACATTGCTGAGGCTGATCGATGGCAACTCTTCATTTGCACCCCTGCTAAGTTCCAAACCACTTATCACCACTGCGGGGCAATGTGTAATTCAGACGTTTGAACTGTATGATTTCTCTATCCTTGTACTATACAGAAATACCCTCCCTCCTGGAAGAGACAGGGTAACTAAATATTACGCCCATTGGTATTTTGACTCGAATTTGCTTCCTATTCATGGGAAAGATGAAGAAGAGTGTATTGACTCACCAGACTGTGGTTTCTCTCCTTCATGAGACTGACTTCTGCACTAGGCAGTAAAAATATAATCACATTTATTCCCACTTTAGGATTCATTTCATCGTAACAGTACACCTACAGCTTCATTTTTTACATTGCAATGCATCATTTTCCCAAATCTTTGCTAATTAATACATGCTGAAGCTACGCCACGCTTCTCTTTCCACCGTAGACCTCCTGCCTCTCCTTTTCTGTGAACCTTATTCACAGGGGGCAAGGCCTGGCTTCACGGAATGAGGCCTGGCAAACACGGAGGCAGGAAACGCAGGGGAGAACGAGTCTGTCAGACTCATTTTCTTCTAGGTTTTACTGCTGAATGTTTATTTCAGATCTGGGAGGAAGCACAGTGGCTCCATTCCATTTCCTTACGTGCATAACCCACTCAGTGCAGAGCCCCACAAATTCACTTTTCACTTTCACTGCGCCGAGGAAATAAAAACGTTTCTATAGTCACCATGCGAACCTGGATTTATTTTTTTTACCAGCCCTCGCTTTCTTTGCTTATGCATGTTGTCGCCATATTGAAATTTACGGTTAGACCTTCACACCAGCAGAAAGA